TAATGATGGTGAGGAGGAGGAGGAAGAGGAGGAGGAGGAGGAGGAGGAGGAGGAGGAGGAGGAGGAGGAGGAGAAGGAGGAGGAGGAGGAGGAGGAGGCTGCGGATGACGTCCTCACGGTTTTCTATTTTTTTTACTATATTCACGATGAAACCGAAGTGGGATGAAACGTTGAACATTTATTTCTAATAATACTAAAATATTTCCTCCGCCCCCCCCCCCTTTTCAAGTCTCCGTATCATACTTCTTGTTTTTTTTTAAGTGATGATGATGATGATGATGATGATGATGATGATGATGGTGATGATGATGATGATGATGATGATGATGATGATGATGGTGGTGGTGGTGATGATGATGAATCCAGCATTCTCTGTACTAAAACTCCCATTTCATGTGAAAAAGCTCGATTCAAACGCTTAATAAAACACCCTCGCGCTGTCCCCAGATCGTGCCCTTAGGAACGATAAATGTACGTGATTTTGCTCACCATATTCCAATCGCACCATGAAAAGACCTCTCTGTAGAGATCGAGATAAGATAACGCTCAGAGTGCTCAATGAAATATTAAAAACGGGGCCGGCGTGGTAATGATTGTACATAACAAGAAGGAATGCGATATTAAACAAACACATGATTCCTAATCGATACTAAGGTCCTTTGATTAATGTTAACATCGATTTGATGACGACGCAAATGTGTTCAGATTTCCTTTGAAACTTGTTGATGCTCTCTGATTCCATTGTGTATGCTTCTTTCACTGTCTGTTTGTTTGTCTGTGCGTCTGTCTGTGTGTCGATTTGTGTGTTTGTCTGTTTGTTTTTCTGTGTATTGTTCACGTAACACAAAACTGTATGCCTTATCCATTATGTACCTAAAGCGTTGTATCCTTTTCCTCCCCCTTTAGTACTACTTCATTATTATCATCGTCCTCCCTTTTCCTCCTCCTCGTCATCGTCTTCGTCGTCGTCTCTTCTCAATACAAGCCCAACAAACAAGCAACAAACTATAATCAAGCTGTTTGGAGAGATGTTGTTGAAGATTGTGATGAGAGCAGAAGACAAAAAGAGAGACAGAGAGAGACAGAGAGAGAGAGAGAAAGAGAGATAGAGAAAAACAGAGAGAGGAACAAGGGAAGATAAGGGAAGTTAGAGATGGAGGAAAGAGATAGAGAGCGGTAGAGGGAGATGGAGAGACAAAGGGAGAG